CAACCTGTTCCATAGAGAAAGCATTGAAAAGGACAGAGGGGAAGATAGTCTCGGCCTTTCATCTTTATTTCTTACTTGTTTTGAGTGTGCCCTTCTGATAGTTTAGCACATAGTGCATAATTATTTCATAATAGCTTCTATCACAGTAGCCAAGTATCTTCCCCCTTGAGTAGAATTTTACTCCGTTCACTTTCTCTACTACTTTAATTCAGTTCTGAAATGTATGCCAGAAATACATTAAGCAGCTTGATTAGCATTCATCATATGTGGTTCTGTCTTTCTCAAAATGAAAGTTATATGAAAGTTTTAATTATATCTTTTAATCTTATGTCTATTTGTTGTCTTTTCATGGATGAGACTGCTGTATATCTCGCAGATGGAACAGAAGGGGGTTGTTGGAGGTGTCACTTTAATCTGCAGAGGCTGCATTTCAAGTTTTGTTAATGCTGAGAAGAGCTCTGACACTTGGTCTTACTGGGGATCAGTTCCATTACCAACCCTTCTTCCTGCCCCCAAACTTAAAAGGTTTTCTTTTCCAGTTGTCCTGAACCCACATAATTAAGTAGAAGCATCAAGTCTTTCAATTGAGCTTATTCATTAGGGAGTACGGTAAGCTGTGAGGAACATGTTTACTTCGCTTATAGTAATTGGTTTTGCTAGATAGAAATGTCGTATTATTGAGTTTATGCTAATATTGTGCTAGGTAAACATCACTTGATGTTTATTCTCATATTGTCACTAGGTAAACATCTGTTGCTGAGCTCTGTCAGCAGTTTCTCAATGTAGTCACTAACGTGGATTTCTCCTCACTACTCGGACACTGATAATCAGGAAAAGATGAAACTTCCTAAGAAATTTTGGTTGAAATAGGTTAAGAGGTTTAAAAGTTCTGAGAAAGGGAGTGGGGTAAAGAAAAGAGGGAGAAAATGGGAAGGATGGAGTGACAGACAGGCTGCTTAGAATGATTTGGGTTTTCCTGTTGGTGAGATCACTGGCAGGAAAAACTGGATGATGATGATTTACAGAGGTGGATTTAATGTGCTGTGAAAAAATTCACTCTGACATGTCCTTTTCCTAACTCAGAGCATACTCCTAGTTTGGACCATTTTACTGAGTATGTTTTACTACATCTTACTGTTTTAATGCCTGGTTTCTAAAGCTGACTCACATCTCCCTCAAACACTGTCAAGGTCAATATGTAGTGGTGAGATTTTACTTGTCATAAACTTAGTCCAAAGTAGATGCAGTTTTATGCCCTTCCGTGACTTAGGGAACCTGTGTAGAATTAATGAATTTTATTTGATACTGAGAGTCATAATTTCTTTGTCAGACTGAGAAGTCCAGAATCTCAAGGCTTCTTTGAAGTGTGGAAAAGTTGAATGTTTGCAGAAGGAAGAACATAAAATAGCATTATTTCTCTTGTTAACCATAACTCCCTCCAGGTAATGTCTCACCTCCCTCTTACTCCTTTCAGCCAGCATGGCAAGCTGTGCTGCGCTCTCTGGGAATTATGCTGACTTCTGCTTTTACTCACAAAAGGAGCCGGTTTGGCCCAGCCTATTTTCTCTTAAGGGAAGGCTAGAAGCGGTAATTCGTTGGTGAGTAAAGGTATTAAGGAGCAGGCGAGGAGGGCAAATGCATGTGAAGTCCTGTTTGCATCCAAAGTTGCCAAGTGCCCATCTGAGTCCTGCTGGTTTCATACCTGTCATTTTTAGCTCAGCCCTCCCAAAAACTCCTTCTGAAAATTTGTCCTATTTTAGTGTCAAATTGGATTTTTCTTTTTTCAAGATCGGGAAAGCAAAACACATTTATTTTCAGGGCTGAGGAACTCTCAGCCAGCTCAGGCTGTTGGCATTTGGGATTGGGCTGAGAGGGAGCACTGAGCTGATGGGCTGAGTTGTCCTCCATGGGTGCTCAGTCTCCTGAGGGGCACTATCAGCCAGTCTGACTCTTTCAGTAAACATAAAGTAGGTAGTCTCCTTACCTGCACTGGAATTGAGGCAACTCTCCCTATGCAAAAAAGTTTTGTGATACTAAGGTGAAAAAACAACGGGGTGTGTGTGTTTTGCCTTTTTTTAAGCGTAGACATTTTTGTCCTTCTACAATGAAGATTATGGAAAAATGCTCCCAAGAGTAATAGGGATAAATAAGAACAAAGAGAAATGATCTAATAAGGCAGTGACTTTCCACAACCACTTGTGTTAAATGCTGTGAAAATGACAAGTTGTAAAGACTAATTCCTAACATGAGTGTTCTTGGAGCAGTAAGTGCTAGGACACACATGGTTTGTTTGTAATAAGAGAATACACTGGCATTGTTTCAGGAAATACTAATAACTAAGCCATTAATAAAGAAGAATTGCTATATAATTCGATGTCTTTAAGCAAACAGTCTTTCCCCAAATAAACAAACAGACACGCACACACAATAAAAGCCTTTGTGCAGTCTCAGGGCTGGAAGGGTTGGACTTGAAAATGAGGAGGCAGCTCCAAAAAACCCTCAAGTCAAAGCACAAGAATAGATTCAGGGTGCTAAAGTAATTTGTGATGTTTTGAATGTTGCTTGGAGTTCTGAAAAGTTTCTTTACAGAGAGGGTGTTAGTCTGCGAAAACAGCTCCCCAGGACCCAGAATCTTAGGATATCACCTCCAATCTCCAAAGTCTCTAGCTGTGTTTGATGCCTGCACACTGCTTTGTTTAGACTTGCCGATCTCTGAAAAATGGAAAGCCTCATTTTTGCTAGCTTTGCCTCAGTTTACCTGTATCACCAGACAAGATTTTAAAAAATGTAGAACAAAGACGTAGTAGGGGGCATATAAAGGTAAGCTTCTAATTATGTGTAGAAATGAAGTTAGCATATGAGACTGAAATATGAACTCAATTCTGGATTACAATTAAGACTCCTTGGTTACTGGCTGCTCAGTGCTCATCATCTAAAGCTAGATGCGCCTCCAGGAGCATTTGCAGAATCTCTGGACCAGCCAGGGCTGTCTCTTCTGGAATTGGCCACTTGCAGTCTTTTTAAAAGAATCCTGCTTCCTTTCAATACAGACAAAATATTTGGGGCTTAACTGTAGTCTTGTACCTTTCAGTAGTGAAAATACTCCATGTATCTTAGAAACTGCTCACCTTTCTATCCTAGTAGATGTTTGTTGTTGGTTTTTTTTTGTGCTAGCTTTAAACAGATTTTCCGAATCCATCTAGTGCAGTATAAGTGTCCAGTGACATACTACGTTTTGTGAAGGCTGTTAGCTGTTAATGTGTGGCAGGTTTTGGTCTCTGTCCTTTGGTATGGTCTCAGCCGTATGTGGAGACCTTAAATGATGCACTGACATTAGAGGGTGCCTAACCTAGACTGCTTTTCTCCTTCTTACCATGTACAGTTTAGACCCCCTTATGTCAAAGTGACCCAGTCACTCTGGTGAGGGCTGAGAAAAGACATGGTACATTTGGTAATTTAGAAGTGATATAATTGTCTTTGATTTTGATTGTGGATAAAAAAAATAAGAGTGAGAGAAAGCACTCTTTGTTTTAGGGAGATGGAAGCCTCTCTGACCTTGTGTGCATTATGGGTCTTGCTTCTGTATGTTGAAGCAGAAATGGATTCTATGGATTCTTACATACCCATAGGTAAATGAGGAAGGAGGAAAAAAATGTAAAGATTAGAAGAAAGCAGTTAAAATTCAAGAGGCCAAATGGAGGTAACAAAGTAAAAATGCACCCATTCTTTGAAGAAAGATGCATAAATCATGCTACGTAGAACGTCTTCTAGAATATGCCAAGAAAGTACTATGAAGAGTCAATAATGGAAGCATATGTACAAAACCTGTGTATGCAAGCCTGTATCTAAGAAGTAGAGCTTTACAGAGAATTGGTGGTTTTGCAAAACTTGAATGAGAACCATCCAGAAGGACCCAAATATTGTGAAGAGAATATTTGCTCAGTTTTCACCATGCTGAATGTTAGAGCGATGCCTGCTCTTCTGGGTGCTTAATAAAAAATGCACCTATTTCTAGATAGGACATTAAACCAAGCTGATACGTTCACAAGCAGCAGTTAAGTCAGATTAATATCTTTCCAGAAGAGCTGGAGGAATTTAAAAGTGAAAGCTGATGCTAAAATTATTTATTGAAATTGTGAAGTCTTGGACATGGAAGGCAAGGACTGTCTTCCAAAGTGATGCTCTCAGATCTGCTGAGAATAATCAGCATCTGTCTTGCTCTGGAGTATCTGATATTAGCTGCTCAGATAAAATAATTAAACTGACTGGATCACTGATCAGTCTGACAGTTTGTGCATTATGGAAGAAACAAGCCTGAACAATAGGAAGTGGAACATTCTTGTGTTTTGAGTTAATCTTGTTTAACTAATCTTGTTTTTCAGCATGTGGTAGCAGGAACAGTTTATAGAAATGTGCTTTCAGAATGTTTTTATGACTAGCTCCAGAAATATTAATTCTTTTTATCTATCTAAAGCAGAAAGCTGTATAAAATGAACTGGGATTGAATTTTTGCTTGGTATAGAATGTTAGTAAGATTCCGGTGAGAGCATCATAAACATCAATTTTGAAAGTCACACCTGACCTTCTGTCTTTTCAGAAGTGAAAGGACATTCTTCTTTCTAGAAACAAAATTAAAAACAGAGGCATTATGTTCTATGTAGAATACTCTGTGTAAAAGCAGTATCTGATGGGAAATTGCTAGTGGTAGATGAAATTTTGTTCAGAAATAATCAAACTCTGAATTAGAAACACAATTGGATTGCTCTAATGCCTTCCTTTTGCATTACATATCTTTTTCTAAGATTGGTGCTATGGATAAGGTACTCTAAATGCATCTGGTGTTTCTGGTAAAACACACCAATCTGTGACTTCCACAAGGAAAATGTGAAAAGACTCTTTTATCACACTATGATCACATGTTCTAATATTTATTTGAAACTTGGGATTTAGATATGTTTTAAGATAATGAAAAAGTTGTTTTTGTTTTTTAAACTTTATAGGCTTGCTGATGCATGGGAAAATGATATTGGAGTTCATCCTTTAAAGTTTCCATCAGAAACATGTTTGGACTTACTGCTGATACTGGGTTTGAGTACCACCTCTCTGCCACCTTCACTTCGATGCATGAACTCTTTTCAGGTGAGGAACAGCTGCTATTTCAATATAAAGGTGTTACTTCCAGGAAAAAGAGAGATCCCTGGAGCCCATAAACCTTTTCAGAGTAAAGGTTTGTCTTCTCTAGTTGCATTACTGTCCATGATATTAAATATAGCAATGGAAAACTTCTTGTAGAGTTCTGTTTCTTTCAATTGTATTAAATGTAGACCGAGGCAGGAAATGTCATTGGATTTTTGAATAGTGAATCACTGTTTAAATTAAATTAGATGTTTAAAGAAATTTCATGAAACTTACTTAGGCTGCAGTAGATAGAATCATTATGCAAAATCTTGTTGGCTTAAAAAAAATCTTCTGCTAAAAATAAAAATTTCCTGTGGCAAAATCCTGTAAAATTAGGAGTGAATCATTCACAATTTTGTCTGGTGTTCTTCTGTGCGTTACTGCTGAAGTTCTCAGCAGTCAGAGAATTTCTCCCAAGAAAACATTGTTGCGCGCATGTTAAATTGTGATTTGTGTTTATTGTGTTTGAAGACATTCGATTTTTACAAATGAAAGACATCTCAATTCATGATGATATGATATAAAAACTCAACCTTTTTATGGTGCTTCTGTCTTCCCTTGTCGTTACATAGTCCATCAGTTGTGTACTGATGTAAATTTAAGGCTGTTGAACCATACACATACCTGAAACTGTGTTTGCTTTGACAGCTACAGAAGAATCATCATCTTAGGGGGACTGAGTGTCCTAAACAGTTAATAGTGCGAAATCTATTAGCTTCTATTTGTCCATACTCCCAGTTAGGACACATTTAATTAGTGTCCCTGAAGTGTATTTACTGAAAAATAATCTTATTGTAGAACTTTGGAGCCAGAAAGAATTTGGTCATAAACCAAAATCAAGTCATTGGTTTTACTAGAGTTACACTGATGTACGACTGCTGAAAAAATGCCAAGGTATTAGTAAAGAAGTACAGACCTGTGTTGTCTGCTGCGTTTGCATCTTGTGAGCTTGGGAACAGCGAATCTGTGGATGGTGAACTCTTGGCAGCGGCCATTGGTCGTGTCGACATGATACATTAATATCCAAGGTCAGAATTGTTACTGGGTTGTACATTCAGAGGCCATAAAATTGAAGATTCACTTGGATGCTGGCAGAATGAGATCACAAGAATTACAGGTTTCAAGGATTAGCCAGTACAAGTTGTCAGCCTTTCCTGTTAAGAAGTGAGCATTTTGGTTGTTTAATCTGGGAGAGTGTACTTGTTAATTACATTGCCAGTTATCTGTGGTAAAGTTTTCTCTTCCTTACCCACAATAGGATAGCACATGCTGAGGCTGTATGTCCTGTCTTGTTTCTGTTCATACTCAGTCCCAAATTGTACAATAAGGCTTTCCTTTGATTTGTTATATCTGGGTAGAGGTAAGAAATTATAAATGACTGTCAACTGCTCAAGATATGAATCTGTACATTCAGGAACCAGTTTGCTTTAGAGTACACAAAACACCAGGCTTTTCTTTTTCCTTGTCATTCTCCCCATGATTGTGCTTGATTGCTCCTGGGTCTTTTTAGCTTCATGAGCCTTCCTCTGGAAACAAGCTGTTGCCATAGAGGCCCACCGTGCATGTCGTGGAAGCAAGTCAGGGGTAGGGTTATGTCATTCGTGGAGCATGAGGTCCCCATGCATCCCCTAGAGATCCTCTGACACAGCCTTTCAAACTCAAATTTCAGTGGAAGAGCTGAAAGGAAACATCACAGTGCTTTGCTAAACTGAAATAGTGTGTGGGACAGCTTCCAGGCTTCCAGCAGTGGCCTGTGCAGGTCTTGGATTGCCGGCCTGTATGGGAAAGTAGGTGATGTGACAGTGTCCACTCCTGGCTGCGAACATGTTTTCAGGCTAAAGAGACTACATTTTGAGCTGATTCCCAGTGTCTGTGCTTTCACAGCAACACAAAAGGCAAAAATTCATTTCTGAAAACACAAGGTCTGAAGCCCACTGTGCTAAGGGAGTGTTATATTTTGCCAAGTGGGAGGTAAGGAAAATGGCTGTTTTGATAAACTTCTGGCTCCAGCTTTCACTCTCCTTGCCAGACAGTCAATATCACAAAGTGTTTGTCCTGGAGGGCAAACACTGTCCAGGAAAATATTGTTTTATTTATTTTCATCCTTACAAGCCTTGTTTGGATCTCAGCATGTGAATTCATGAAGCAGAAACAAAGTTTGCCCAAGCTTTTCACTGATCCTTTACAATGATCTGTCAGCCTTATCAGTTTGTTGTTTGGTTTTTTTTCCTGGCTTATTTCTTTGTACTCATGTTCACTTTCTATACAGCAAATATTAGAATTACATGTCCTAGATTTTCATTATCTTTCTTACAAGAAGTTGTCAAGGTCTGTAGAGAGCCTGAATAATGATATTAAATTGTGCTGTTGCCTGAGCATGAGATCCCTCTGGATCCAAAATACTGAAGATTGTGAGTCAAACAGAGAATAATAAAAGGCCATTAATTGAAAACTGATATTTCATGTGTCTTAATGGAGTAATGGCAAAATGACAAAAACTGGTTTTATTTTGTGGTAGACCTAGACCTGGCAGTGGTCTAGAAAAAAATTAAAACATTTTAATTCTATATTACAATAACGGTTGTATTTGAACTGAAAACAATTGCACAGTTTCCCATTATCCGCATGTGGCAGTCTTATCCAACAGGAGGCCAGGCTCTCAAAGCTGAATGCTTGCATCTGAATGCTAGGGGAATTAGAAGGAAAATGACCCCAGAAAGTGCATAGTTCTCTCCTTTCGTAAGTGTTCCCACTGTTGGACACATGGTGTCAAACTAAACGGACCACTAGATTCCACTGGCACTTTGATTTGTGTTTTGATACAGTATTTGAAAATGCATCTAGCAGCAGCTGTATATGTACCGATCTAAAAATTAAGTTTAACTCCTGATATCATATAACTAAAAATTCCAATTGTTTTTAATTAGGTAGCCAGAAATGATCCTGCCACACCCCTGTGTTTTTTGAGACTGTATTTACCCTCCCTCCGTATTATGCTACAGTATTGCAGATTTGACAAGCCAAAGTTTTAGTTGGTATATGTACGAACTGCATGATGTTTAGGTTGTAAAAAGCACATGAAGGAAATGTGCTTAGTTGCTAATCATCTCTGTAATAAACTCTGTTCTGCTTCGTGATCTAGAAGTGCTCTCTGGGACTAGCTTAGCAGACACTGTATCTGTGCTGAGATATAAATTACATTTTATTTTCCAGCGGTGTGCTACTGCTTAGTAACATAATATTTGAAATCACTTTTCAATTCCGTTTTGACCCTGTGAAAATCTTTCAGCATGATTTATGTTCCTGGAGGAGCCTGGAGGAGAGGAGGTGCAGCTGACTATTACATGGCTCTTCTGATTTTAAGTTGCTCACTGCAGCAAGCTTTTAAGCTTCCCAGGCTGCTGATTATTGGTACTAGATTGTCTTCGGCTCATCTCTCATTTTACCTATGCAGTTACACTGACATTGTTCTGGTGTACTGTAGAGCGTTAAATCTCAGGAAGCCTGAGCCTGGAAACTCTGAGGGACCAAAGTGAATAGACTAATTCTTGCTGGTTGATGGCTGCCCCTGGATTTACTGGAGACCGTCGATTTGCAACTGACTTGCGCCTTCCCAAGCTTGTAATCCTTCACCCCGGACTAAGGGAGTCTCAGATCAAGGGAACAGGATTCACTGAGACACTTGGTGTTTATCCTGTAGCAATGCAGAAAGCTGTAAGAAGGGAGAGAGGAGTTCACTACTAGAAAGAAAAAAAGTATTTTTTAGCTTGCCTTTGCTATGAGCATTGTTTTGTTGCTCTCTCTTCAGGTCCGTTACACTACACAGAAAGCTCTGTTGCCTTATTATGTTCTTCATCTGTCTGGCTGTCCACCCCCCTGAGCTGTCAGTCCTTTGCTTTAGGAACAGTTGGGCTCGACTTTGTGTATTATTCTTAATACTTGCAAGCACTTGTAACTAGCAGCCACTTGACTTATCATGTACTTTATCACTGAACTGTTCAGCTGCTACTCTTCAATGCAGTCTGTTGGTATTTTAAAGCTTACAACACAGAACAGTTAACACAGGGAGATGCTTTAAAGTGACAAGTAATCTCTGCTGTGTTTTGCTAACCTTATCTCTTCTTTCTTTGAATTCAAGCACAGTGAACAGAAAATGTCTTGGATATTGAATTCTTATGATGATATATGAGGCTGTTCTGAACATTCTCTCTCACTGCCGTTACTGTGGGAAACAGCATTTTACTTCCTGTATCAAGGCACTATTCACAAGGCCACAGACTGTAACAAGAGTTCTCAGAGTTAAATAAATAGTGGTTTTATTTTTACTTTTAGAGTTGTATGAAATCAAAAGAAGATTGTGATTGAGAACTGCTGAGCAGTTTCAAAATTTCAGTTGAAATAGTCCTAGTGCTGCACCCAATGCCACTTAGTGCATGCTGTCCACTTTGGTTAAGAGAAGCAGAGCCAGTGTTTAAGAAAAAAAAACAAAAAGTGCTCATTATGTTGCTGCAGTAAGCATTCCTAGAGGTGTCTATGAAGGAAAAACTCATTTGCAGTTACTTTGCTTCCAAAAAAAGGAGGGAAAAAAAGAAGGTTTCTCGTAGAGCAGCATGTCAAGTTCTCTGTCATTCCTAAAAGCAACACGTTTATACATACAGAGTAGCAAGTTGCTCAGAAAACATGAGACTGAATAAATGCAGTATTCATTCTAGTCTAATGGCTCTAGTATGTGTGTCTCAAAAGTATTCGAAAGACTCATGGAAGGCAGAATACAAAATTACTGCTGTCTGTCAGGTCTGTACATGATCCGAGCTGAAGTGTGCCCTGATACTCAGTTTTTTTTAATATTGATACTTTTGGGTTTATGTGTGCATATGTTTTTATATATACACACATATGTATATAAAGTACATTCAAGCTTGTTTATTGTAAAAAGAGGTTAGCGGTAGAGGACACTTGCA